TGCCCCCCATGCCCCCCCAGCCTGTCCGGCGCCAGAGCCGGCGTTCACCAGCCTCCCCCAGCCAGACCTCCCCAGGTCCAGCCTCCCCCAGCCCGGTCTCTCTGAGCATGCCTGGACCTGGGGACCTGGGGGAGGCCACAGAGGATGGGGGGGGCCCTGAGGCTGTGGACGGCACCCCCACTCCCACAGCTTCAGCCTCGGACATGCCCCCCCAGCCTGTCCGGCGCCAGAGCCGGCGTTCACCAGCCTCCCCCAGCCAGACCTCCCCAGGTCCAGCCTCCCCCAGCCCGGTCTCTCTGAGCATGCCTGCCCAGGTGGACCTGGGGGAGGCCACAGAGGATGGGGGGGGCCCTGAGGCTGTGGACGGCACCCCCACTCCCACAGCTGTGCCCCCTCAGCCTCGGCCCAGGAGTCTTGCCTCAGAGACCGACTGAACGGGTGGCCCCTCCCCGAGAGCCCTCAGTGTCCCCTCCCTTCCAACCTGTCCTCCCAGGACACAGCCCTCACCCCTCCCGAGAGGTGGGGGCCTCCAGCCTTTGCCTACAAGTGCCTCGGTGCCCGCTGGGTCGGCCCCCACGGCAAGGAGGGCTCAGGACAGCCCTCCACTTCCAGTCCTTTTCCTCTTGGATCCACCTTGGGCTTGGGCTCAGCCCACCCCCCACTCTCTGGCAAGGTCCCAGGGGAGCCACCAGGAGGAAGGAGAGCTTGCCTGCTCCTACTAGGACTTTGATTTTTTTCTCTTGACAACATATTTTTTTGTAAGGCAGGTAAATAAATTATTTTGGACAAAACTGGAGCAGCTGCCCAAAAGATAGCTTTATTTTCTGTACTCGAAATAAAGAAGCCACTTTCATAAAGGGGAAATTTAGCTATTCTTTGCCTCCTTTCCTTCTTCCTGTCTGAAAGAGTAATGGCTGGAGCTTTTCAGCACTTACTCTGGGCTGCACACGGCTTTTCTGTGCATGGTTTCCATTTAACCCTCTCCCTGGACAGTCAATCCCATGACCTCTTACAGGTGAGGAGACAGGCTGAGAACATGACCGGCCGAGGTCACACGGCTCATGAGGCATGGACCTGGGATTAGGACCCAGGTCTGACTGATTCCAGAGCCTGGATCGGCCCCTCACATCCCGGGCAATGGACTTAATTTCTCAGTGTTCTGGTTTCCTCGTCTGGGAGACCGATGACGGCTTCCACTGCAGAAGTGTTGTCTTGGTGACTAAATGAGACACGCCTGCAAAGGCCTAAGCACGACCCTCCCACTTGATGCCGGGTCCCGGATCTGCAGTGCTCCTAGGGAAGGTGGAGAGGTTCCCCCAGGAGCAGGGATGGGTCTGTCTGCAAACCTTCCCAGAGGCTGCCCTGCCAGACCTGGGCGAGGTCCCTGACACAGCCCTAGCTGCTCCTGGGAACAGACAGGCAGAACTGATGACTAGAATCAAGTGTCATGACACTGGAAACCCACATTGGCCTAATTAGGCACAAGCCATCTAACCGGACTGGTGTGTGTCTGGGGGGTGGAGGTCACAGAAAGCTTCCTAGAGGAAGTGATATATCCAAGGGGAGTCTTTCCAGGGCTGACCAGGTGGGAAAGTCAGGGAAGAACATTCCAAGCCATGTGCACCTGTGACAAAGGCCAGGACATTGGGGAACAGGAAATATCGTCTTAGGTTATAGGATGTGGCTCTTCCCAGGTCTTTGGAGCACCCGTTGCTCCTGGAGGGGAAACGGGTCTTCAGAGCCTTCTCAGACATCCCTCCCCGAGGGGGGCCTAAGCAGCTGGGTCACCCCATCACTGCCCTGGGCCTGGCCACTGCTGCTCTGGCTCCTTCCCCTCCTTGGAGTGCTTGGTGACAGCCTGCCTCCAGCCCAGAGCCTCTTCACCCTTCACAGTAGAATCCTTGATAATTAAAACAGAAACCAAAAATGCCAGGCTACCCCCCAAACAATTAAAGCAGACTCTCTGGGCTCCTACCACGTATTGGTATTTTTAAAAAGCATTTGTCAAAAGTCATCAAACTTTACACATAAGAACTATACATCTTACTGTAGGTAAATTATATCTAAAAATAATAAGTGCTCCAGGCGACTCTACAGTATAGCCAGCCTAGAGAATCACTGGTGTAGGCCAAGGGCCCCAGCGCTCAAGAAGACACCAGGCGTCCCTCTCGCCATCCTACCCACCCGCTCAGACCTGGAGCATCCCCAGTTCAGAGGGCAAGGAGATTTGACCAAAGATATCATCTCCTTTAGCATCTGTTTTCCTCTTAGCAACCAGCTCTCCTAAGCTTCTGATTGGCTGAGGGGCGCAGGGCTTATTCGCGCCACATTTTCTACTTCTAACTCGTTATTGGCCAAGAAGAGCGTCAGTCTCCCACCCCTTGGTGCCCTTCTCTCCAAGCTCTGTCTGCTCGCGGCCTCGCTCCTTAACTTTCGCCTCTATTGGCCGCGGGCCAGGCCGTAACCCCACCCCCTGGCCCTTCCTGCGCGCCTATTGGCAGGTGCGAGGGGCTAGCGGGATGCGGGCGAGCGCACCGTGCCCGCGGA